ACAAAATCTTTGCAAATAGGGAAGGGTGGAGGGGGTGAAGGGAGGGCAGGGGAAGGGGATAAAATAAGAACCAAGATACATCATGTAAAGGTACAAGATCCCAATGATGAATGTGACTGTATTTTCTACCGAAAATGTACCAATAAACTTAATGGGAAAAAAGAAAGACAGCATGGCTAAGAGAAGGGTAAGGCTGGGTTGGCAGAGGAATCACTGAAAGTGGGTTGGCAAAATGTCACATCTGAGTTGGGCGTGGTGGCACACGCCTGTAATCCCAGCACTTGGGAGGCTGAGGCAGGATTACTGCAAGTTCAAGGCCAGCCTGGACTATAGAGTGAGCCCCTGTCTCAAAAACAACAACAAAAAAGTCACATCTTTCTTTCCCTGCTTCCAAATAAGCCTCCAAGAAAGGTGGGGGTAAGCGGTGAAAAGAGAACTCGACTGGGATTTGGGACACCTGAGCTTACAGTCTGTGATATCCTTCATGTTGCCCCTCATCCGTTACATATCGTGATACTTGGCTTTCACTCATTCATCCTATGGTGCTCTCTCATACGGACACTTATGTGCAGACACCAAACCAGGCTCCAGCGATACAGGTGTGCAGTGTAGAAATAATATCGCTGCTCTCCTGGAACTCAAAGCCTAAAAGGGAAGTGAGACTGCACTCAGAAATTGTCCCTTCTACCTGGGAGTGACAGCACACACCTGTAATCCCAGCACTCAGGAGGCTCAGGCAGAAGGATCCTGGTGAGTTCAAGGCTAGCCTGAATTATATAGTGAGACCCTGGTCCAACAAAACAAAACAAGAAAAAAATGTCCCTTCCAATTCTGAAACTTAGACTTGTCAAGGCTCAATATAATACAGTAGGGCAAGCAAGGATTCATACACTGAATACCTGAGTTCAAATTCTGGCTCTGTCATTACGGAGTCATGGGGCAAACTGTTTTTAATCTCTCTGCCCCTCACTTTTCTCATCTGTCAACTAGGATAAACAACAGATAAAACATGAATAGTGATTCATGGGTGCAAAGTATTACATAGCAGTAAACGCTGGGTATCTGCAGTGCGCGGCTGGCGTTTACTGATCGTTCCCCCAATGCCCTTGGCCACCTGCGTCCATACTCACCGCCTGCTCGTTCCTCATCCCGATGTACCTGATGCCCAGCTCCTGGGCGGCAAGGGCGATTTCGGTCACCGGGATGCCCACGACGCCAAACACGTACCGCACATCCTAAGCCCGAAGAGAAAGGGAACGCACGCCTGCCCGACCGCTTACCACCTCGCCACATCTTCCTGCCTCCCTCCCTCCCTCCCTCTGTCCCTCCAGGCCTGAGAGGAAAGGAAGTTCCCAGCCCCGAGGCCCTCGCTCCCGCCAGGGCTCCGCACCTGCGCCTTCAGGGCCTGCGCCACGACTTTAGCCCCCGACACCTGCTCTGCGCTTCTGTCGCTGGGCGCCACGAAGTGACTTTCCGGCATCTTCCAACCAAAGTTCAAGGCACCCTAGAAAGCAAAGGCCAGGTGGCAGGCACCGTACAAAAGGGGCCTCAGAAGCCACCACCTGAGGGACCGCGCCTCTGCCAGGAGCAGCCGACCGCTTTACGGATCCCGGAGGACGGGGCGGGCCTGAAACCGGCTGGGCACCTGAGGCGAGACCACGAACAAAACTCTTCCCGCCTCCTTCCTCCGCAAGCTCAGAGCATCAGGGGGCGACACGAGCAGCCCACGCGAAGCCAAACCTTGGAGACCTCGCCGCCTTCCGGAACGGACACAGCGGGGGACGCGCAGCGCGTGCGCGTGCCGGGGCAGGAGGCGGGCTGAGCCGGGAGGCAGGGGGCGTGGCGCAGGCCGAGCAAAGTCAGCTGGCGGGGCTGGAGGGAATCTAAAGCACAGCCAAGTGGTTCGTGTCTAAGGTGCCATAACCTCTGGTTTCATAACCTTGTGGCTTTGTACGCCATAAAGCACGGTAATGCACGTTACTTAAGTCCCTGCCAGAGGCATACTCTTTACCCTCATTTTATAAATGACTCCCCAACTTCCAAGCAAGTGATAAATTTACTTGTCAAGACTTCTTGAACCCAGATCCTGCTTCAGACTCTAATCCTGTCCCCTGCCCATCCTTGGCACCTTAGGCCACGAGTAAGCCGATCTTTTCTGCTAACACACATTATTCTCCAGCACTTTTTTCCCAAAGCCTGGAAATGGCAGCTTTTAAAAATTGTTATGCAACCAGTGATAGAAAACAAAGAGACAAGACAAGAGTGGGGAGCAGTTTATGGGTAGTGAAATGAATAAGAAGTGAAAAAAACTTCTAAACCCAGAGATTTCGAACTATAGTCCTGGACTCTTCAGAGAGATCTGCCCCACCTCAAGCAGAAGAGAGTGAAATGCTTACCTCCCTGGATGTGAGGTCGATCTAAGAGGAGGATTTCTTTGCAGTCTCAGAGTTCATGTAGTAAGTAAACACAGCCAAATGTGCTAGTTCGTGCCTGTTATCAAAGCTGCAAGAGCAGCTGAAGCAGGAGGACCACAAGTTTGAAGTCAGCCTGGGCAATGTCATGAGACCTCAAAATCAAAAGGGCTGGGGATGTAGCTCAGTAGTAGAGCACCCTTAGGTCCAATCCCTAGTATCAAAAGAATGCAGATTTTGCATTCTACTCCAGAATGTGTGCAAATTTTATATAGAAATAGCATTTTATTTACTTGGGTACCGGGAATCGAACTCGGGTCCTTGCGCTTGTGAGGCAGGCGGCGGCACCACTGAGCTAAATCCCTGGCCAGCATATTATTTATTAAGGTATAATAAACACAAATAAATGCACAGATCTCAAAAAGCACTAATTGTTCTTTGTAATATCAAAGTTAAGGGTTGGCCTCTTACCTGCTTGGCCCACTGTTAGTTCCACCCCCTGACCCCTGAGCCTGGGAAAGGAGCAGCTAGGAAGAAGTCATGTTCTGACAGGAGAAAGGCTTCACATTGTATAATAAGCACAACTAAGTGCACAGATTTTAAATGTCAGATGAGTTTTGACAGTTATGTACACCTGTGTAACTACTACCCAAAATAAAAAATGATTGCCTATCAAGTAAAATTGACATTCCAGAAAGATGCAGAACATTTTTTTATTTATATCAGTATTCACTGACACAATTTCTACTCTTACTGCATCAGAATCATTTAGAAAGCCTTTTCAAAATACTGTATATTTACATGGGCCCTTCCCCAGCATCTTAGGGCACGTTAGGTGCTTATATATTGCTTTAAGCTACCACCTTATATTAACTCACTGCCCCAAAGGGAGAACCCTACCTCTGTATTCATGCCTCATGTTAGAGGCATGAGTTAATCATTAAATATTTGATTGTCTCACTATTATCCAAGTAATATGCTTGATTGATTTCGGCTTGTAGGTTCAAGGCTGAACCTGTTTGACAGCAGCAAAGCTGTATAGATAGTGAATTCATGGGATCTTGGGTCTACTTGTCTGTCAAAAGAATCACTGATAGAACTACTCAGTATGAATTCAGTTTGAATTTGTTTCAGAATTGAAACAAATTCCTAGAATTCACATTACAGTGGTTTTCCAAAAGAATAAATCCACCTCTGCAAGAATCTGCTATTTTGCAAAGGAATAAGTTGCTGAGATTGTTGCTCTTTGACCTTTACACTTTTCAGTTCAGGGTATGGGTTCCACTCTTCACTGGCCTCTGATGATTCAGCAGAAATGATGTAAGTCCTCTCCCTAGGATTATCAAGACAGTGGAGCAAGTCCTTTTCTTTCAGTTGGACTCAAAAGATCGTAGGATTGGCCAGACCTGGTGACACATACCTGTTATCCCAGCTGCATGGGAAACTGAAGCAGAAGGATCCCGAGTGTGAGGCCAGCCTAGACAACCTAGTAAGACCCTGTCTCAAAATTTTTAAAAATTAAAGAATCCACCACCAACAAAAGAGGCTAGGGATGTATCTCAGTGGTCCCTGGGTACCCTCCTGTAAAAAATAAATAGAAATAAATTTTTTTAAACCCAGGATCACTAATTTAGCCAAGGTCTTCTGTGTGGACTTTGTACTAACTGCACTGTTTATTACTTTTTTTGGAAGTAGACATGGAATTTTATTTGTTGAGTATTTTATAGGAATTATTTACTTATTTATTTAAGTGTAATATAATTTACTTATTCCTCAAAAGAGGAAAAATAATCTAACTTGTTTGAAAGAAAAGGCTGAAGTATTTGTAAAATGTTCCCTAATAACAGGGCCAGTCAGGAGTCCGGATACTAACTACCACATTTGAGGGACTCTAGATTTGAGGTGATAGGGCCGGGGATTTAGCTCAGTGGTTTCACTGCCTGCTGCACAAGCCCAAGGACCCGAGTTCGATCCCCGGTACCAAAAAAAATGTGGGAGAGATTTGAGGTGATAAGAAAGAGCCGTTTGACACTTCTTCCAATTTGGGTGAAGAGAAAACCCAGGCAATGTGGTGTGTGCAGAAAGCACATATTCTCTCAGAAGATTGCATCTTCTGTAGGCAGTAACTCTTTAGACTCCAACATAGTAATGGAGTAACATTTTAATTTCAGTAAACTCACAAGAACACTGAGAATCATTTCACAATGATTACTTTAAAACATTACGCTATCTGAACACATGAGGAGATTCTCACAAACGTATTTATCAAGTGTTTGATTATCAAATGAATAAATGAATTAGGATTATTTGTGACACAGAATAAAATGGCTGAAAACAAAATTTTCTGAGAGAAGAGAAATTTGAAACTGAGTATCTTCTAAACAAACAAAAAGGGCCGGGGATTTAGCTCAGTGGTGCTACCACCTGCCTCACAAGTGCAAAGTCCTGAGTTTGATCCCCAGTACCAAAAGAACCGCCCCCCGAAAACCAGCAATAAGAACAAAAGAGTAATCTAGGTAGGTCACTGTTTTTAAAAGCAACACTTGAAAACTGTACATCAGGAAATGTGTTGTAGGAAATATGTCAACAGAAATGAGTAGGACATGAAATAATAAAATGGTTCTTTGAATAAAACAGGTTAAACTGATTTTGTTTGCTTCTCATTAAATGTATTGACTATAAAATACCAAAATTCTTAGGTAGACTTGAAGCAAAACCAATGAAAAGCAATTTCTTATGGAGTCATCAGGGTTAACTAGACAATATTTCCCAGTGCCTGTCCCAAGTGCCCTCTCACCCAGAAAAAGGTTGGATTCCTGCCCATGCCTTTCCCTGATAAACCCTTAATTTTTGCTCTGCATGTCAGTGCCAGTGAGACCTAGGGTTAGAGCAAGGCACACTACGGGAAGAGAATAAAGGAATGCTGTTTCTCTGTTTTAGCTTTGTTTCATCCATTGTGGATTTGACAGAGAGGGTTTGGAAACAAAGTCGGGATAGTTTGATCTTGGTGGTAAACATCACTGAGCAAGAAGTTTATTTTGGGAAAATTCACCAGGAAACAGTGACGACTGTATGTTGTACTATGGTAATGTAAGAAATTCATCTAAGATGACTTGGAAATCAGAAAATACAGTAGTCTTCCTCATTGTTATGGAACTCTACACTTGGAGGTGGCCTTGAGGGTAGGGTAGAGCTCTTACTTATGCAACATTTTGCTAGTGTTGAAATATTTTCTGTCTTCATTTGTTTAGCAATCAGAATTCACTATAGCCTCTTGCACTAGCTTATTCGATTTACCTTATTGCTTCATTTTACTTTTCATCTATTTTCTGTGTCAGCAAATCAAAGAATCATCTGTAGGGATGGACTGAGGTACAACTCCTGGTGATGAACATCTTCATGATGAATAACTTCAGCCTGTAACTTACCTCTTCATCAAAACCTTTGAGTTCCTGTTCAGAGCTCAGCAGTGGTTTATTGTTTCACACATTTAATGTTTGTAAAATCTTTCTGGCACATGAAGGGGAAAGAGATTAATTTACACTCAAATGTCGAACCCCTAGCTTAAAAAATACATAACAAATATGATGAGCTGCCTGTGTGTCCCTCTTCCATTGCCTCTCCTTCCCTGTCCCATAGAGGTAACCACGATCTTGGATTTAATGTTTATAATTCTGCATTATCCTTTTTTTTTTTAGGTAGTGGCCATTGTCTTAACTCATTTTCTGTTGCAATAACATAATACTTGAGACTGGGGAATTTATAAATGAAAGAACCTTATTTCGCTTCACAGTTCCAGAGGCTGGAAAGTCCAAGAGCAGGGTGCTAGTATCTGCTTGGCTTCCACAATGGCCTCATGGGCAAAGGGCAAGAAGATCCTGAGGAGGAGAGGAAAAGGAGCCAAACTCCTGAGGTAGCAAACCCATTACTCAGAGAATAGCATTGATCCATAGGTGAGGGTTCCGCTCCCAGACCTAGCCACTTCCAACCAGGCCCCACCTCCCAGCAGAGCTGCATGAGAAATTGTTTCCATTACATGCACTGTTTGTTTGTTTGTTTGAGGTACGGTCTCTCTATGTACTCCAGGCTGGCCTCAAACTCATGGCAATCCTCCTGCCTCAGCTTCCCAAGTGCTGGGATTACAGGAGTGTGCCCCCACGCTCAGCTATTCCATCGCAGGCATTTTGAGGAACACATTCAAACTGCAGCAGACATTTAGGTCCATTTTAGTTTGTCAGGATCTGGACAGTGTATTCTGATCATTCTTGCATCTTTCTTGTGCACATGTGTGAGAATTTTTATGTATATATTATCTGGGGGGCAGGTCATTATGAATTTTACCAGAAATTGTCAAATTGATCTCAAAAGTCATTGTGTGAATCTATAGTTTTACCATCTGTTTATGAGGATGAATCTTTATCCATGTCCTCAATTTAAAAACTTTTCCCAATTTGATGGATGTGAAATGGCTTCTCATTTCCATTTCCTTGACTACAAATGAGGTTAAATTATATTTGTGTGTGTGTGTGTGTATGTGTGTACACAGGGATGCAGGTTTCTTCATCTTGAATTACCTGTTTATATTTTTGCCCATTTGATTATTTTTGTATTCCAAATAATAATTCTTTGTTTAATTTTATAGTTTCTTTTCAGATGCAAATTTTTTGTAGTTACGGTGGCAATTCCTTTCCTTTATATCTTTATATCTTGCTGAAGAGAACTCCCTACCCTGAGAACTCCGAATGAAGTCTTTTTTCTGTATCAAAAAATGTAAGTTTTGGGGCCAGGGATTTAGCTCAGTGGTGCCACCGCCTGGCTCGCAAGCACAGGGTCCTGAGTTCCGTCCCCGGTACCAAAAAAAAAAAGTAAGTTTTATTTTTCATATTTAAGTCTCTATTTTACTTATATATTTTTTTTTTAATTAAAGGAGGTGAGCATCCAGGGGTAGAAATCCTAACTGTTACAGTTAGGTTTGCTGAGTAACTAACCACCCCAAAACTTAGTGGCTTAGAACAATTACGATTTATTTAACTTATATTCCTGTGAGGCTGGGCTCACCTGAGCTCACACATGAGTCACCTAGGCATCTCTGCCATTGGAAGTTGCTAACTGGGAGGCTGTACAACTATGCATCATCCAGTCTACCTGCCACCAAGCCGTGTCTCCCTTATCATCTCGTTCCCCAGAGTACTTCATATGTCGGCATGAACATGTCCCATTGTATAAGCCTCTATATGTCATTTTTGGTAACATCTCATGAGCCACAGCAAGTTACATAGCTGACCTCAGACTCTGAAGAAAGGCGTTAGTTACATGATGAATGAGGAAACATAGAGTGGAGAAACTTTTGTAGTAGTTTGCCATGATAGTCAGTTGTCCAAGCACCATTTATATTTATTAGTGATACATAAGGCCACATTTGTTACACTTCTGGACGTTTTATTCTTTTCGTACCCCAATACCAATTCCATACTACCTTAGTTTCTATATTTTGAACATGTCTTGATGTTGGTAGGACAAGTAGTTCCTCTGCTTTGTTTTGAAACCATCTTGCCTGCTGTGTCAGTCTTAAGGAGATAGGAGGGCTGGAAGAGGAACATAGATTAAAAGAGACATAAAAGGTACATTAATTTTTTAAATGGGAAAGAAGAAACTGTAATGTCTGCAGAAACACCTTAAGTGACAATACTATTTTTTTAAAAATAGGCACATAATGACTGTAGAAGTTACTTCTATGACTACTTGATCATTTATTGGTAAAGTTGTCGAGTTTAACAAAACAAAAACAGGACACACAGACTCCCAGTTAAATTGGAATTTCAGGCCAATAGTGGTAATTTTTTTTTATTATAAAGATGTTTTAACATACTTATTTATCTGAAATTCAAATTTAACTGGGCTGCCTATATTTTTTCCAGCAAATCTTGATATTATTTGAGATGGTTAGTTGCCCAGCCCTCCTTGTTGCTAGAAAGGGGTCACATGTCTGCATGTAACCCAAAGCAATTTATTTTTAATTTTTGTAAGGCAGTACAATCTCTTGATTTTTATCATTCTCCACTTTTTTATACATACATGTACCATATGTTGATATTATCACCTCATTATACTTGCCTACTGCCCTCCTCCTCCCCTTTATTCTCTTCCAGCAGAGCCCTTAGTATATTCATAATAGTTATTTAATTAGGGCCAGAGATTTAGTGCAGTGGTTTCGCCACCTGCTGCACAAGCGCAAGGACCCGAGTTCAATCCCTGGTACCAAAAAACCCCCCCAAAACATAATAGTTACTTAATTGCTGTCCAGGTGATTCCACCATCTGCCATATTGGACTCTGGTTTGGATTCTTGCTCCATCTCTTCAAACTGTGGTTTTGACTTTTCAGTATGGCTTGTAATTTTTTTCTTGCGAGCTGGAAGCAAAGTTCTTGAAGGAACTCCAGCAAGCCTGCATTTAGGAATGTGGCGGAGAGATGTGGTAAGAGGAGAGGAGTTATATATTAGACTTTTGGTGGACTGTGGCCTGGGCTATGACCTGCACACATGCTTCTCAGCGCTCCCCTCCCTTCCGGAGCAACAGAATGGTGGAAGGAGCTACTGTTAGTTATTCTCCTTTTGCTCTGTGGAACGCTGAAGAGGGCTGGAGTTGGCTGTTTCCCTTCCTCCAGGTTGGTCAGGCTCTGATAAAGCCCACTAGTCTGGGTGCTGGTTGAATGGTTTCTCTTGAGGGCGGTCCTCTGAAAAACAGAATGCTCTTGACTGCTCTTCTTTCCACGAGGGGCTTTCTCTCCAGTCTTTATGGAGTAAAATTCTTAGACATGTGGGCGCAGCCTTCCGTGGCTGGGCCCTCGCGTTTCTGACTCCCAGTGTTGGGCACGCTGAGCCTCAGGCATGACTCAGCTGTAGCTCCTTAAATGCCAGACTGGAATACTGAAATCTTTGTTTTACTTTTTCATTTATTAGAAAAACAGCGTAACACTTAAGAACACATTTTAGGGCCAGGGATTTAGCTCAGTGGTTCCGCCACCTGCCTCGCAAGCGGAAGGACCCGAGTTCAATCCCCGGTACCCAAAAAAAAAGAACATATTTTAAATCGCTATAAAATGCCAGGTGCTGGTAATCTCAGGTACTCAGGAGGCCAAGGCAGGAGAATCTCAAGTTGGAGTAACCTGAGCAAGTTAGCAAGACCCTATTTGAGAAGCAAAAAATAAAGACTGGGGATGTAGTTTAGTGGTAGAGCCCTTGCCTAGCATGGGGAGATCCTGGGTCCATCTCCAAAATAAAAAGCCCACAAAATAACCACAAAAAAATTCATAAAATGGCCTTTATTCAATCTTTTCCAGTCTTTGCTCACATGTATACATATTCATATTTTACTGAGCTATAGAAAACTATACATTTTAGCACCTCTTAGCATATTTCATTATTTGAGTCTTCATAATTTTCCTTTTAATTTTTGCTCATTCTAGCTAGCTGATACACATTAATTTGCATAACTTTCTCTCTAGTAGATACTGTTTCCCACGTCTATTGGAATCATTCTTGGGTTTTAGCTAGTTTCAATCTATTGAACACTCATCAATTTATAGCAGATATCATTTCACACCTGTGGATGGAGGAACTGAAGCTTAGTTAGGTTAAATATCATACACACACACCCCCTCCCTTTGTGCACCTCCTGGTGCAGCTGGGCTGGTTCTGGTCTGTAATAGGCTGGGGAAATGTCAGGGAAGCGCCTTGCCTGGGGCTGGGCTGGGCTGGGACGCCCATGCGGTGGGGAGAGTCTTCTCCACTCCTGAGAAGATTTTAAAAAATCTCTCCTCCGACCCATTTGAGGAACTTCATTCCATGTTTATATGTCTTTTAAAAATTATTTGTGAATCTTTCGCTTCTCTTTCGCATAAGAAACAAGCTTGTACTGAAACAAGCAGAAACTGGGTGTGAAGTGGGAAGTTTCTCGGATTCATTCTATTTTCTCTTTTCTTCAAAGAGTCATTTAGCCATACTCCAGGAAAGATGGTCTTGTACGTAACAGCCAGGTTAAACAGTGAAATTGTCCGGCTGGGGATTTAGCTCAGTGGCGCCACACTTGCCTTGCAAGTACAAGGTCCTGACTTCGATCCCCAGTACTGGAAAACAAAACAAAACAAAAAAGTGAAATTGTTCTAGGTTTTACTGTTCTCTACACAAAATGTTAAAATTCTCTAATCACACAACGTGAGAGGGTTATGTCACGAGGTTGTCATTGACATTGTTGTATTCAGCCTTAAAAGAAGGAGAGAGAGGGCTAGGGATTTAGCTCAGTGGTTCTGGCGCCTGCCTTGCAAGCGCAAGGTCCTGAGTTCAATCCCTGGTACCAAAAAAAACCAAAACAAACAAAAACCTGGTGTAGTGCCCCATGCTGTAACCCCGGATACTCTGGAGGTCGAGGCAAAAGGATCACAAGCTCAAAGCCAACGTGGACAATTTAGTGAAATCCTATCTCAAAATAAGTAGAAAAACCTGGGGAATATAGATCAATGTGGGTGTTATCAGGTGCTGTAGGGACCAGGCTCTTATTGCTCTGTTCAGTGAATTGGTCTGAACAATTATTGAATGTGAAAGGTTAACATTTATAAAAATAAAATGAAAGGGACAGGAGCTCAAAAGAAGTGCTCGGGGAGAAAAGGGTGCTTTGGAGGAGAAAGATCCTGCAAGCAGAGCAGACCCCTGCAAGAACAAGAGGGCAGTGGCTACAGAGTCCATTGCTGCCATCTTTTTATATCTTCTCTGATAAGGCAGTTGATCCAGGTGGTCCCACTTGATCTCCTGCTAGAAGATTTGTATCAGGTGCTAGGCTCCTTCTGTTCTCATGTCAGAAGACTGCTATCAGGCACCAGGTTCTGCATGTTCTCGTGTCAGAAGATTGGTACGGGGTGTCAGGCTCTGGCGGGAGCCACTGCTTTGCCTCTTCATTTGGCAGGTTGTGCCCAGTTCCAGTGGAGCCCATGGCCATGCCCTGGTCTCTACCTCAGTAGAGCACCCTTGGGTTCAGTCTCCAGTACACACATGTGCATGCGCACACACACCAAGAAGAAGGAGGAGGATGAGGAGGAGCCAAGGAGGGGGAAAAAGGCTCACTGTGTCAGTAGTCTGGTTTTAGAACATTTCCAAAAGATTCCCTGTTTTCCATGATTTTCTTACCTGGCATTCAGCCAGTCTATCATGTATCGCTACTTGGTTTCCTAGCTGTGCACCTAAATTTTAAGCAACAGTAATCATTCTGATTATCTGACATAATTTTATGACTTAATTCACACTCCACCTCCTGCCTTCTACACATGCAAACACACTTCAGGCCAGCCACCTGTACCAAGTGTGATTGTCATGATGATCCTGATACAGCTCAGTTTTCTGAGCCATAAAAACCTGAAGGATGGCTAACTCTCCCTTTAATGAGCACAATATTCTTTACTTTGGAACTAAGAAACTGCTGACTTTTTTTTTTTTCAGTCAGGGTCTCACTATGAAGTTTGGGCTGGCCTCAAACTCACAGTGATTCTCCTGCCTCAGCCTCCCGAGTGCTGGGATCACAGGCATGCGCCACCACACCTGGCCTGACTTCTACTTGAATGTAACCATCTCTGTCTGTGACAGAGGCAAAAAGTAATCTCCCAGTCAAAGCATGGCACTGTTTTCCTCCTTGAACTTGAGAAGGGCCATTGTACATCATTGCTTTCCTAACCTTTGTCTCTGTGACTCTCTTATTCAAAAGCTCACATGTTTGGAAATCCTTTTTGCAGTAATAAAATGGAATTTTCTAGAAAGTAAAGTGAAATTTTCTATAAATTGCAATGGAACTTAAATTCTTCTGCCTCAGCCTCTGTATAATCTGTAATCAGTAGCTGTGATTATATGCATGTGCCACTGCACTAGATTTTTGAGGTTATTCTTAAACTATAAGGGGACTGATATCCAGAGCCAGGATTTCACCCAGTCTGAGGTCAGTGTAGGCAGCTTTAAGACCTTGTCCCTAATGAAAAAATGAAAATGGCTGGGGACGTAGCTCAGCGATAGAACTTTTGCTTATCATGTGTGAGCAGCTGGGATCATCCCCTTTACTGAGAAAACAAAAACAAAAAAGAGACATTTCTGTTCTTGGGGAAGGTGGGGAAACACACAGAGAAAGATCATTCATCCAGCGCAGAGGAGGCTTCTGGGTCAATGTGCCACAGCTCCCAGTGCAGCATAGAAGGCTTCCAGGCCAACCTACCACTGCTCCCAGAACAGAGGAGGTGAGCCGCTCAGGCGCCAGCAGCACACCCCCCCCCATCAAAATGAGAAGACTCATAAGCCTCAGAACCAGACTTCCAGATCACCTACAGTAACCCCAAAGGGAAACGAGATGGAACACTGATACGCAACCACCTGGACTCCTCGAACCAGCAGCAGAAGAGGATCTGGAAAAAATGAAATCAGAAATAATTTCTCAGATAACAGCAGAGATTGTACTCATAGTGCAAGACATGATTAATAAATATAGAGAGGAGCTGAGGAACATGATGGAATCCTAACATAGGAAACACATGGAATCCATAAAACAGATGCAAACAGATTTCCAGGAGATTAAAAACTCCATTGAAAGTCTATGCAGCAGAATGAGCTAATGTGAGGACAGAATTTCAGATATAAAAGATAAGATTGCAGTTAGTGACCAGGAAAAGGAAAATTTCTTTAAAATTGTAAGGGAACATGAGAAATCAATCGAGCAGCTGCTAGATGATGCAAAGAAGAATAACATAAGACTGCAGATGACATAAAAAAATTGTTCACAGAAGTGATGGCAGAAAACTTCCCAAGCAGGGGAAAAGAACTTGACATACAGATAAGTGAGGCAAATAGGACTCCTACTAGCCTTGATCAAAAAAAAATGTAGGGCCGGGGATTTAGCTCAGTGGTGTCACCGCCTGCTGCGCAAGTGCAAGGACCTGAGTTTGATCCCTGGTACCAAAAAAAAACAAACCCACAAGTACACATAGGCATGTAATTGTTAAGATTCCAGAAACCCAACAGAAGAACAAAGTTCTACTAGCAGTTAGAGAAAAGAAACAAATCACATACAAAGGAAAGCCCATCAGAATCACAGCAGACTTCTCAATGCAAACCCTCAAGGCAAGAAGAGCTTGGAGTGATGTATTTCCAGCCCTAAAGGAAAAAAACTTCCAACCCAGATTGATGTACCTTGCAAAACTATCTTTCAAAATTGATGGAGAAATAAGATGCTTTCATGATAAAGAGCACCTCAGGAACTTCATGAATACCAAACCGGCACTCCAAAAAATTTTAGACAATACCCTAGGAAAAGACAATGAGGATCACAACCCCCAGAAAGCCCAGCAGAATGAATTCACCAGCCATGACAAGAAATTTAAAGCAAAGAGGAAGAATCCAAGAAAAAGAAAAGGTCATGACAAAGATAACTCAATACATATCAACTATAACCACCAATGTTAATGTTCTGAACTCACCAATCAAAAGAAACAGACTGGCAGATTGGGCCAAGAAGCAAGATCCAATAATACGCTGCATACGAGAGAAAGATCATCCATTTCTTGTATCTTACAGCAGGAACTAAAAGTGGAATTTATAGAAAATTCCACTTTTTTTTTTTTGGTACCGGGGATCAAACTCGGGTCCTTGCGCTTGTGCAGCAGGCGGAGAAACCACTGAGCTAAATCCCCAGCCCTTTCACTTTATTTTTTAGAAAATTCCATTTTACTACTGTAAGAGGAATCTGATTTCCAAGTGAGTATGCTATTGAGCATTGTCCCTGCTGCTGAGGCAGGAGCTGTACCTGCACTGCTCGCAGAACTTGCAGTGGGAGCTCCCACTGGTG